TGCAGATTAAAGGCCAAAGGGAATCTCCAGGGCAGCTGTTTTACTATAGCATTTTCTTCAACATCTATTAGTCCTAGTTGTGTAAAGGATATGAACAATCCCCTTTGGAAAGCAGGAGTTGTTGATTTTTAATTTGATGTTATTTTGATACTTGAAGAAACACAGGAAAAGAAAAGCCATTAAATAATTTAAAATATTAATAGTAGCAGTCATGTATTGTGCTTCACAAATCTTTATTCCTCTGCCTTTCTTCCACAGGAAACAATACGACTTCTTTGTTTATTAATTATTTAATTTCGTATAGCCGCCCATCTCAAAAAGTGATTCTGGGCAGTGAACAATTTAAAAATAAAAATAATTAAAATACAAAAATGAAATTATTCTATACATATAGCTCATGTTCTGTGCAAAGATAGCTTTCCTCACATGTGGTCACACCATGAGCTGCATACCGTACATGTGAGTACTGAACTGTGAGGCTGAAAGGAGCCTATGTTTAAGCAAGTCAGATTCTGCATTTGATTGTGAGGATTTTTTTTTAATTTAATGGCATTTCAAACTGCTTGAGAACATGCCTTCTTAGCTATAGGTTTTTGAATAAATATAGGATTCTCTATTTTAACATTCTTTATAATCTTGTATATGTCAATGTTAATGTCTGAAGATTCTTTATACATCTTTGTTAATTCTTTGTGACCAATGCAGCTACATTTGCTCCACCCTAACTTGTCCAAAGTAGTAGCTAAAATGAAAGAAAATGTAAATGTTTCATGCAACTCTTGAACATAGTAATGCCTCTTCTATGAGACACATCTATCTGAGAACCAAAAGACTGAGAACCTTTTGAAATAAGAAGGGCCTTTTAAAAATGTTTTATCAGGTCTACATTGCTTTATCTATACTCTGATAAAGAATATAGATACGATAAACCATTTAATAGGAGAAGTCTATCTTAAATAAATTCATAAACTTTAGGGAAAGACAAGGAACCACGATTAGATTGATAATCTGTGCTTTAAAAAAATAGAGTGAGCAATAAATTAACCTATTGGAATCTTCAAGGAACCAAGATTCAGGACCAATCTCAGCCTTAGAATCACTAGTGGATTTGGGGCAACTGTATATAGTTTTGTCCAAATTCCACCTACATGACATACAGAGTCTTAGAAAAAGAAGGGATTGCAGCAAAATGATTTTTTCCCCCACAATTGTATGCTTTCTTCCCACCAAAGCCTTCTGGGTGGCTCATAGGGGATTATTCATTTTATCCTCCCAGCAACCCTGTTAATGAGTTTGTTATCTAACATGTTTTCAAATATAACTACATTCTTGTCCCTGTGATTCAATATGAACTCAACTATAGCATAAGCAGATAACTAATTATGGGCCAGAGGAAGTGCCACTAGGGTTCTTATGAATCTGCTGAATTGCACAGAGATATACCATATTTTTCGGTGTATAAGACGCACTCCCCCCCCCCAAAAAAGTGGGTGAAAATGTCTGTGTGTTTTATAGAGCAAATGTTGCCAAAGCCCCGCCCACTTCCACCCTCCAACCTCCAGCCTCTGCCTCCCAATAATTTGCCTCCTTGTAGCAAACAGCAAGCAGCCTGGTCAGCTTCGGCACAGCCTGATTTAGCACGAGAAGCTGATTGGCGGTTGGATCTGCCTCCCGGCTGTTCTAGGCTGCAGGGATCGCCATCGCCCATCACTGGTTATCGCTGCCTCTGCATGCCCCATTTTTTGTCTCCATGCACCCCATTTTCGGCCTATTCCAGGCAGCGGGGATAGGCAGCAGTGGTGATTCCTGCCTGGAATGGGCTGAAAATTGGGTGTGCCGAGGCTAATAATGGGACGCGCGGAGACCAAAAACAGGGCACATGGAGGCCAAAAATGGGGCGTACGGAGGCTAATAATTGGACGCACGGAGGCAGCAATAGGCAGTGGTGATCCCTGCAGCCTGGAACAGTTGATAGGCGGTATTCCAGGAGGTCGATCCAACCGCTAATCAGTTGCTCAGGCTAAATCAGGCTGTGCTGAAGCTGACCAGGCTGTTTGCTATTTGCTGCAAGAAGGCAAATTGCTGGGAGGCAGAGGCAGATTTTTTTTTTCGTGTTTTCCTCCCCAAAAGCTAAGTGCGTCTTATAGTCCGGAGCATCTTATAGTCCGAAAAATACGGTATATCCTACCTTTCTGTTCCAGCATTCAGTTCAGAAGATGCTCTGTAATACTAGCTTCCTCACTTGAAAGAATAGTTGTTGGTACTGAATAGTCAGGCCTACAAGAGGTTTACCATAAAGTGCTGCTTTATGTAGAATGTTGCTATGAGGAGGAGAAATTCTTATAACAATAGTTGAGCAGAGTTATTACTACAATACCAGAGATTCATCCATATCTGTTGTGTAAGACCCAATGTAATTTTACATTTTGCCAAAGTTATTTTTTTGCAAAGATAATACACCAAGAAGATTGTTATTACCCTTCTCTATGCCATTGGCTTCACTAGAATCTTACATTAAGGTATTCTTGTCTTACCAGAGATACATTTGATTGTGAAATGCATCTCTTTCATTGTTGGCACATGAACAAAGGTAAAAACAGAAATATCAATATTCACACGCTTTATTGAAGTAGATCATAGCTTTAACCTATGATTCCTAATGATCACTTTTGTAACTGAGATTTTCCCCGTTCAAAGTTCCTGTGAGACATGAACTCACTGGGTGGTCTTAGACAAATTTGTATTTTCAAGTCTTACTTTTGCAAAATGGAGATAGCACAGTCTGGCTTTATCACTGTATAGACTGCCTGGAACAGGCTCAAACAATAAGCATTTACCAACTTGTCAAACTTGCCCTGGATTACTCACTGCAGGAAGGCAGTTGTGTGTTGATCAATAAGAAAGATTAAGTGAAATCCTTTTCTGCATATAGGAAATAGCATATTAGGAAAATTATGCCAGAACTCAACTCTCTTGACATGCTGATTTTCTGCAGATAGAATAACATCCCTTAGGGAAGCATTAAATACAGCAGCTTTTCATCTCTAGGCTGAACTGGTATGGTCCAAAAAAACCCTTAACCCTCAATTCTGTTGGCTGTACAACTGCCTCTAAATTAGAATATATAAAATGTTTTGGAATCTCAGAAACTTTTATTGTTAGGAAAAGACAAAGTGGACCTATAGTCTAATATGGTCCATGAAAACAAAGGTGTTAGGTACTAGAGGGCATGTTGTAAATGAAGAATCCAAACTTATATTTATCCCTTGATTTAAGTATTCCTGCTGAAGAATAAAACAGGAATTAAACATTATTAGTAAATCAAAATAACAATATATGCAACAACTATTCCAAAACGCATAATGTTATATCGGTGAAGTGCTTATTTCTCTTAACTTTGGTGAGTGGTTCTCCAAGAGAAAGTTTATCATTCAGTCCAAGACATTTTAGCAATTTATCTAAGTAGGGTTTTTTTTATTGCTGCAAACTCCACCCTCAATGCTGCTTCTCAAGTCAGAGTCAAACTGTGCTTCAAAGATTATTCCCCTTCCCTGTCTCCACCCACATCCAACCTTTTGAAACAAAAAACCTATATCTCTCTGGGAAAGAAGAAAGAGAAAAAAAGGGGAGATAGAAGGAAATACATAAAATTAAAATCCAAATCATAAGCACATTAGTCTGTACACACCAGGTAGGACCTGGGATAGATATTAGGGAAGGTATTAGAAACAATAATATTTACTTTTAAAGAAAATAATTAAGCTAGGGGGAAAAGTGCATTCAAAAATTTTCAGGTGAAAGACGTGTGATTTTAATAAGGAATGTTCGTGGCAGAAATATTACAATGGGATGCATGCAATATTTTAAAAAAAACATTCTGACAAAGATCCTGAAGGACTACACCCAACTTTTTATTATTTTCCAAAATCCTACTTTCCCTTTTCCACTTGCTAACTCACCCACCTAGAGGCAATTCACCTATGTATATATAGAAAGATTAAAGATGTGGTGTACTCTTTAGTTAATTGGATTTTGTCAGAGATCTTATCAGATCACCGAGATGGAAAAAAGAGGGGAGGGGAGCTTCTTTGGCACCACAAGTCTTTCTTATACTGTATATGCTTCCCTAAAATTTGTTCATATTTTTCAGACACACACACACACACACACACACACACACACACACACCCTTTACAAATTTAAGTTTCAAGTATTACTTAGAGAGCATGGCTTAACAACAGAAGGATCAAATTAAACAGGCTGTGGAAGTAGCGTTCTAAAACTGGGAAGTGAGAAAGGCTCAAAGCAGAGAAAAGAAAGTACTAAAACGTGTTATGTGAAGAACAGACACAGTTTTCTTTCCTGCAAATGTGGAGGAAGGTATTTCAATCTGGGGTGATGATAGCAAAGTTTCACAAGAATTAGAAAGAAATGCCTGATTCATGCAGAATTATTTTAAATACCATAATACTCTTGCTCTAATATGGATTTCTATTTTTTTAATGGATTCACTCTGCTTTCTGAGGCTTTTCATAAAATGGAAAAAAAAAACACCAAAGCAGAATTCAACACTTCAGACTGATTAAAACAAGAGGTGGGGATGTGATGCATTTAAGGGGGGAAAGTATATTGGGAAATCCTCTACCACTGGAAGATGGGGGGAAAGAGGGAAAGGAGAAGGAAAGCAAGATCTCAATAGGCATACCTTTGTAAAAGCAGTATCCAAGCACTACAAAAGCAATGCATTCTCAATCCTTCATCCTCACCTCCACCCACCCAATTATCCTACAATACAACAGAATAGGTTTTCACTTGCCATAAACCAACCAAGGATTTCAAATTCCATGGATGACAGATTCCCATACTGCAAATGTCCGCACCATTGTATGGCTCTCTAGTCTTTCTTAATAAGGTCACCTTAAAAGCTGGGAATAAGGAAACAGGGCAACGGGGGTGTCAACTTAACGCGGTCAGGTCCCGGAGGATCACATTATACGTACAGTGATTGGAACTGTTCCAGTGCTGGTTACGAACAGGGGTGCTGTAGGGATTGGGGTTCACAGCTCCTTTGTCCTGGATCAAGCATGCACGGTTCTGGTTGTAAAAATCCATCATGAAGAAGGAATTAGGGCTGCTGTTTAAACCAGCTACCTCCACACTTTCGTACATCTTCTCCAAGCAGAACAAGGGGAAAGAGGGGTTGGGATCTAGTGTGGAATGGGAAGGAGGGAATCAGAACAGAAGTTTGATGATGAAAGAGCAAAATTCTATAGTGATACTTAATTCACAGAGCTGAGGAGAAGTTGACTGGTTGTTTTCTGTTTTTTGTGCTGCTCTTGCTTGCTTTCACTCCCCCACCCCCTTGATCCCTGGTGGAGAGGTATTTAGGGAATCCAAAAGCAGCTGGGGAATCCACCAAATAGACCAGGTTGGTCACAGAAGGTCTTGCTGAAAGTTTTGAAAAAAACATCCAAAGGATAATATTCACATCTCCATTCTTCTATTCCAAAGGCATCCCTTGAAAATTAGGCTAGCAAGTTAGCCTGAATTATGCTTCACGATCAAGATAGATTCACAAATCCAAACAAATATTTTTTTAAAAAATTTAAAAAAATGTATTTTTACTTTTACAAAAATAATAGAATCCAAACAGTTCTGCCTTCTGAAGAGTAAAATTCTTTATAGAAGTAGGCTCCCTGGTATTAGATAGTATTTTAGATACATTTCCACCTCCCATTCAGTTCCATGCTTCCTTCTCCCAAACTAACAAGAGGAAAGGAGGGGAGGGAGGGAGGTTCTTTGCAGTAACTCTTTTCAGAAAAAATGGGAGAAAAAGTTTCAAGCACACATGCATACAAAAAAAAAATAAGACTTCCTGTTAGAATTCAAGAATTCTTTTGCTATCTCTCAGAGAACTGGAGGCAATCATGGATTGCATTTACATGTATTAAAATTACATCTCTATCCCACCGCAGAAAGAGGAGGGAAAGGGAAGGAGAAAAATAATGGAATTATACAAATGTGTTGTCAGGTTCTCAATGCTTGGGAAGATGCCAGAGGCCTTGAATTGCCTTGGATGTAGAAGGATTTTTCTCCAGCCGCTTGGTTCTCCTCTCCCTGGGAAAAAGGAGTGTGTGAATGAGTGAGTGAGTGAGTGAGTGAGTGAGTGAGTGTGTGTGTGTGTGTGTGTGTGTGTGTGAGAGAGAGAGAGAGAGAGAGAGAGAGAGAGAGAGAGAGAGAGAGAGAGAGAGAGAGAGCATACGCGCATGTGTTTTGTGTGTGCGTATGTATGTGTGTGATGTATAGGACTGATAGATTAAAGGCAACACAAAATCTTTCCTCGACTCGAAAAGTCAGCTCTCAACCAGCTTAACTCTTTCCTTACCTGCTGCGTGCTGTGTCTTGCGCAGCCCCAACCAAATGTGGAAAAGCGCAGGCTGGGGGAGGAGGGAAGAAGGAAACAGAGAGAAATGAATGAATGAATGAAATAAAGGAAGGGGAGGAGGAATGGAAGGGAGGAGAGAAAAAGGACGGGTGTTAAAAAAAAAAAGTCCCTCTCCAGCAGCTGTCTGTAGCTATAAAACTGCAGACACCACATCATCATGTGTTTTCTCCATCCCTGGAGTGCCGCAAGGAAAAAAAGCAAGGAACCCCCCCCCTCTTTTTTTGTGGCAAGGAATTGGCCCAGGCGGCCCCTTTTGCCTGCATCACCCCTCTCCAACTCGGAGGTTTCTGCTGTTCCTCCAGCCACCCCCTATTTGCGTAATGTTATGCAGCTGAACTCCGCCTGAACTCTCCTCACAAAAAGCTTCACCTCCAAATGACCCACTCACAGGCCTTCTCCTTCCCAGTGACATCACAGGGGCGCTCCCCCCCACCTCCTCCTCCTCCTCCTCTTCGTCTGCCAGGGCTGCCACCAGCATGCGGCAGCCACACCGCTGAGCCAAAAGCAGACCTACCACGAACAGATAAAAAGGTGTTTTGTCTGTTCAGGAAGCCAGTAAGGAATTTTTAAAAAGGCTGTTCAGATATTTAAGAAAAAGAAGACTGAGCAATAAGGAGGTACTCCGTCTCTCTCTCTCTCTCTCTCTCTCTCTCTCTCTCTCTCTCTCTCTCTCTCTCTCTCTCTCTCTCTCTCTCTCTCACACACCACACACACACACACACACACACACACACACAGTGCCTTAGAATCCCCAGTATTCCATCACACCTGCCAGCCAAGTGGAAAGAAAGCAGACAGACAGCCTGATATTCATTCAAACTAATATTGTTAAGCAGAATTACTCCAGTAGTTCTTGCTCCTGCACTGGAAGGCAGGGTAGAACTATTACCCACATAACCTAGTATAGCGGACAGATGTTTGCCCAAATCACCTGAGTTACTAGGGATTTAAATAAGGAATTTCCAATTCAGAGATCATGTTCTGAGATAACATATTACATCCATACATTGGTTTGGGAATATGGAATGTACTTTGTCCTTTAGCCCTGTGGAAGAATAAATTTGGGCAAATATATCTCAGTGTTTCACACCACAAAAATATTGTAGATCAGGAAGAAATCTATTTTCACATGAAGGATGTTGTTTAATTGATGGGCCCTTACAAACAGTGATTACATATTTTTTATTTTTTTTCTACTGCATTACATATACCTGTATTTATTCTGCACTTGTATATAATGTGTTGCCTTTAAAGTGAAGGGTATTAACACACTATGATCGTTTCTTCTTCTTTTTTAAAGGATCTTGAATGGTCAATTGAAATATTAAATCTCACAATAGATCTGTCTACTGAATAGCTGTAACATGCTTTCAGCAATATTTAGTATCAGCAATCATCAAAAGGGACATTTAGTTTTTATACACTCTCCAAACTGTCACAGTTTGCAACCTGCCATTCTAGACACATAACTATCAAAATAATATCATATAGCTCAAAATGAGCACAGCACTTGCACTGAATAAAATGGTAGGCTTTGTTACAGACGCACACATTTACACAAGCATGCACTAGATAGATAAGAACATTAAGAGCTTACTGGAGAAGACGAGTGAGATAATCTAGTCCAGAATTCTGTGTTCCAAGGTGACCAACCAGATGCATTCAGGAAGTTTGCAATAGCCTTCTTCCACTGTTAACTCCCTAGCAGCTGGTATTAAGAGATACAAAGTCTTCGACTTACGACCACAATCGAACCCAAAATTTCCGTTTCTAAGCCAGACATTTGTTAAGTGAGTTTTACCCCATTTTATTAGCTTTCTTGCTACATTTCTTAAGCAAATCACTGCAGTCATTAAGTTAGTCACATTGTTATAAAGTGAATCTGGCTTCCCTGTTGAGTTTTCTTGTCAGAACACCGCAAAAAGGGATCATATGACCCCGAGACACTGCAACCGTCATAAATATGAGTCAGTCGCCAAATGTTTGAATTTTGATCATGTAACTATGGGGGTACTGCAATGCTCGTAAGTGTGGAAGTTACTGTTGTAACTTCGAACAGTCACTAAATGTATTGTTGTAAATTGAGGATTACCTGTATTGCCTATGATTCTCATGATAATAAAAAGCCATTAAGACAACTACCCATTGATGGCTCAAACTTCTGCAAATTTGCTCAGCCTTCTTTTAAAACCAACTTAGTTTTACATCACTGCATCTGGTGCCAGCAGACTGTGCCAGTTGCTGGTTTGTGTAAAGAAATACCCATACGCTTTTTTAAAGTTCATAAATCAGAAATGGGTTCAGCAGGTTCGGATCAGTTCTGGAGAACCGGTAGCAGAAATTTTGAGTAGTTTGGAGAACCGGTATATACCACCTCTGACTGGCCCCGTCCCCATCTATTCTCTGCCCCCGAGTCCCAGCTGATCGGGAGGAAATGGGGATTTTGCAGTAACCTTCCCCTAGATTGGGGAAGGAATGGAGATTTTACAGTATTCTTCCCATGCCACGCCCACCAAGCCATTCCCACAGAACTGGTAGTAAAAAAATTTGAAACCCACCACTCTCATAAACTCCTTTTGTTTAATTGTAATAGATGAACCTCCAAACTCTACCACTATGAGAAAGGGAGGAAAAATGTATCTGAACCCACAATTGCCACACTATGCACAATTTTATATTCCTGCCCACTTTCACTTCAAATTAAAAATCCCAGATGCTTTAGCCTTTCCTCATACAGGAGTTTCTATATCTCATCATCACTTCCACTGTTCTTTTCTTTGCATAAGATGTGCTTTTCTCTTAAATATTTGATTTACAAAAATTGCATGAAGGAGGTTGAAGTGTTCACAATAGCAGTATTACGTTATAAAGAGGAGGAGCAACAGTGATAAAGAAAGCCACCTAAATTTTAATCATATAAACCAAGAATGCAGCTTTGCACTGATTCAGACCACTGAGCCACGTTTTTTTTCAGTTGTGTATACATGAATGAGGAATTGTGCTAACTCTCTAAAGCAATATTTTGCAATTTAGTACTAAATTATATATAAAAAACGTGAACTAACATTACTTATGATGACAAACTCTGCAAGTCAACACACATTTGCAGGCCAGGACTACAAACAGAAATGAGCCCTTTGTAGGATAATTGTCATATATTCTACTCCATGTAATATTTATTTATTTATTTATTTATTATTCTAATTTCTATACCGCCCTTCTCCTTTCGGACTCAGGGCGGTGAACAGCCAGAATAAAAAACATTTATACATAAGTACGATTAAAAAATAGATTTAAAATAATTAAATTTGGCCCATAATTTAAAATTTATCAATTTAAAATCCATATCAAAATTTAAAACCAACCATAAAATCATAAAATCAAGAGAGACCGGCTAACTGAAAGAGATGAGTTTTTAGGGCCCGACGAAAGGTCCGGAGGTCGGAGATCACTTGTATCTCTGGGGGTAGATTGTTCCAAAGGGTAGGTGCCACCACAGAGAAGGCTCTCCTCCTGGGGGTCGCCAGCCGGCATTGTCTAGCCGACGGCACCCTGAGGAGGCCCTCTCTGTGGGAGCGAACTGGCCGGTGGGAGGCTATTGGTGGCAGAAGGTGGTCCCGTAAGTACCCTGGCCCTAAGCCATGGAGCGCTTTAAAGGTGATCACCAACACCTTGAAGCGCACCCGGAAGTCCACCGGAAGCCAATGCAGCTCGCGCAGGAGAGGAGTCACATGGGAGCGCCCAGTCGCTCCCATAATCCCCCGCGCGGCCGCATTCTGCACCAGTTGGAGCCTCCGGGTGTACCCCAAGGGGAGCCCCATGTAGAGAGCGTTACAATAGTCCAGACGAGAGGTGACGAGTGCTTGAGTGACTGTGCGTAGGGAGTCCCGATCCAGAAAGGGGCGCAACTGGCGTATCAGGCGAACCTGATAAAAAGCCCCTCTGGCCACGGCCGTCATATGCCCTTCTAAAGACAGCCGTGCGTCCAGGAGGATGCCCAAGTTGCGGGCCCTTTCTGTGGGGGCCAATGATTCGCCCCCAATAACCAGCGATGGCGTCAGCTGGCTATACCGGGACGCCGGCAGCCACAGCCACTCGGTCTTGGAAGGGTTGAGTCGAAGCCTGTTTCTCCCCATCCAGACCCGCACGGCCTCTAATAGTTCTCTAGATTTTGGGTTTTTTAAAAAGAAAAATATGCTTCTTAAAACATTACATTCAGAATAATGTCTAATGAAACCATGAACCCCTAAGATGTTTGGGAGTCAGAAATTCCATGCTTCTATCTTGCCCAAGAGGAACAAAGCAAATTATACAAAGTAGAATGCTTAAACTGAACAATTCAAATTTGTTGTCTTGGAATTCAGATAACATACTGCTCATGGATTTATATTCTGGGATATTACTGGCATAAATACTTCAAGAAACTAGAATGGTTTCTCCAGAGACAGAAAGGGGCTTGCAGAATTGTGTTCACTTAATTAAGCGTAAGTATAGATCAGGCACAGTCAACAGTTACAAGAGTTTGGAGGGACAACAGTAGCCCAGCTTTCTTATAAATACTTTTAATTGGGTTTCTTTAGGCTTAGGGAGATCAGTACTGAAAAAGAGTTCATCTTGAATTCTAGCATTCCAACAAAAAAGCTATCACCAGATCAATGGAGCAGGATATAATTTACTATCTAGTCAAATGCCTGATTTAAACTATGCCCAACAGATTGATGAGGAGGATCATCAAAATAGACTTGGCACCATTCCTAACCACCAATCAACTGATACTTCCCAAGAAATC